TATTTTCGATTACAAGTTTTCTTTAATCTTTTACATTAGTAAATTTTGAATTTTGGTCAAGTTTTTCATATTGAAAATAAAATTATAAAATTCAAATAGTTTGGGTAAGAGATGTGCCTTGATACCCATTATTTGTTACAATTAGTCTTTAGCAATAATTGATTTCTTGTATGAAGATTTACTTTTCATTGATTATTTAGATGAAGAGACACAGTTAAAGAGCAATAATTGCTATAATCAATGTATTGTACCAACACAACAAAAAAAAGTTTCAATAAAAATATAAATAAATAGCAATAAACAAAAAGATATTAACATTCAAACTCGAGCATACACAAACCGAACTGCATGTATATACTTCATATTAGTATCGATTGAACTTGAAATAGTAGTCAATCATATAGAAAGACTTGAACATTCAGTCGAGGGTTACGCTAGTCGTAATGATGAACGTTACTTATCTTAAGTGAGAGAAGAAAATGACACAATAATTTTGTTTATATTTTATACGATAATCTCTTTTGATATGTGCTTGAATAAAGATAAAACATATCTTTTGAAGATTGTACTGAACTAGTTAATGAATAAACACACAGCGCCAAATGGCATCTGATGTCAATTTTCAAGGCGAATATATAAAACCTTGTTCTGCAATGTCATCATCATCATGTAAAACAATTACAAATCCATTTACATCACCAACATCACCATTACAACCTATATATCAAGTTGATTCCATGGTCAATGTTGTTGGAGAATCCAATAACGGTGGAATATTTTTATTCGAGACTGAACGTCATCTTGTATATACTAAGAAATATACATATACATTATACAGTGTATGTATCTTTGGTTGTTGGATATGTACTATTCCATCGATTGTTGTTACTATATTTGCTCGAATAGCTGCTAGAAAAAATCAAATAGCTCGAGCTAAAGTTATGTTTAATATTGCATTCATTTTTTCATTCTTTGGTTTGATATTATTTGCTGTACAAGCAGGTTATTTAACATGGCTTATACGTTATCTCTTACATAGATTTCTCACTTAATAAAATATACGCCTAAAAAATATAATAAATTTCATACTTCTATTTTCATATAAAGATAATATAATTTCGAATAGGCAAATATTCATCGGACCATGTACGGTTAATTATAGAAAAAAAAAAAACATTCTTGTATAGTAAAGTGGAAATTAGGTCAGTCGACAGTGCACATATGTCGTTCTTCTCCGATCATTCTAATCCATAAATAAAATCAAAACAAAATAAAGTCATGATATTTTTTCAGTTTTTATATGCCATGAGATCATAATACTTGATCAAAATATAATAATATAATTCAATTTTTTATGTTAAAAAAAACAATATATGAATTGTGTTTTATACCCTAACAAAGTTTCATTTAAAACTCGATCGGCTTAGTTAATTAGAATTCAAAATGAAAAAATAAAAAGAGTTTATTATATCATTACTAGTATTAAAATAGAATTACTTGTTTTCTGTGATTTATGTGACAAATTAGTAATGTTAGACAAAAAATTTTTATTAATACATTAATATTGATATAGTATGATAATTGCTGAATTAACAAATATTTTTAAGAATATTCGAACAAAAAGTGTCTAAATCAAATATTTTTGAAATTAATGAAGTTTTCAAAGCAGATGTTTATTTTTCTTAATCACAGATGAAGGTTGTGAGTCAAACTAAGAACTCAATGTACCAAAAAAGCTGATCCTACTTTTATAAGTCAGGTAATCAACATTGACTGCTGATTCTTTTTCATAGCTGAGATCCTTCAAGTATCAACAAACATTTTATATCACCGTTCTATTACAGATCTTTATGGGTCAATAGACCTAAGTGTAATGGTTATCACTAATACAATTTTTTTAAAAATACTCAGGTAATAATGAAGATCTGGAATACTTTCCGAGAGCCCTAAAAAAACAACTTTTGACTTGAAAGTCTATTGAAACCTGATTTAGATTCATCGAAAATAGGTTCATAGGTTGCAAAATTTACAAAAACTTCTGAGATATTCAAATCTACTTCAATTGATAAACGTTAAATATCGCTTTGATTGGCTCATGTTGTTACAAATAACGACTATTTCACACTTATGGATTCATAGTTTCTACCAATGCATGAACAAGACATTTTTACCGAATACGGAGTTTATTGTGCTCTTTCTAATGACACAATTTTAAACTTAAAAATCAATTTGAACACATCAATACTCATTTGACCTCAACCAAATATTATATTTGGAATCAGCATAAAAAACTGAGTCGATACGTGCATATTTCGAATTGTTTCTGCGACCTTTTTCTTTGTCCAATGGTAACCCTTATATTCTTCCTCTAGTATGGTCACAAAATGAATTTCATCAAACAAACATTTAGGTGGTGAAAACGAAGTTCTATGCTTATTTTAGCAACCCAAGGGAATACCTATTATATCCTTTTGTGTATTGTGTTATGATGTACTTACGTTTAATGTTTTTATGTCCTTAAAATCTGTTCTTAACCATGCCATGCACTTTGTCCTTTTTCACCTGTTTTACATTTAATCCTATCCCACGATACTATTATCTTTACGAGTCCTTCTCTCTCTTGGAGGTGGTATAAAAGGACTAAAAAAATACATGCGATGTATGATTTTTGATACACAAATAAACATCTATTATAACCACTCGTGTAGTGCTTCTGCTATCAGAAATCGTCACACTTATTAAATGCTTTCTAAAGACAATACAAGAGGTGTCTAAATATTCAAATGATTATTTTGATAAAATTCGTTTTCCAATATACATCCTTGAGGAGGATCTTCGGGTCAAAATTTGATAGAAAATAAATTCGCAGAAACAAATTGAAAAATACACATGTCCACTCAATTTTTTGTGCTGATTTCAAATATGATGTAGATTTGAAGTCAAGTGGCTATTTTTATCTTTGAAAACCGTAAAATGTAAGTAAAAAAAGGAGACAAATCGGATTCCAAGTATAATTGTTAGAGCACGTGTTTTATCAGACATTGAATTTCAACTTTAAAATATTATCATCAAATAGAACACATCGAACTCTACATTCGATAAGAAAAATCTTGCTCATGCACTCGTGGACATTGTCACTTCATACAACTGAAACAATCATTCTTTGTAACAATGTTAGCAAATTGGGAAGATATTTAACATTTATCGATAGAAAAAAAAACACTTGAATATCTGAGAAATTCTAATACATTCTGATAGAAGAAAAGTTTTTGCACCAAATGAACCCATATTTGACGAATCTTAGTCGAATCTTAATGAATGTTCAGATCAAGAGTCACTTTTAGAGCTCTCGGAAACTGCTTCAGATATTTATTACTATCAGAGTACCTTTGGAAAAAATGTGATTCTTGCCACTAACACACTTAGCTCTATTGAACAAGAATGACCTCACATAGAATAGCGATAAAAAATATTGGTTGATATCTGAGGTGAAATTCAGGTGTAAAAGATTCAGTTGTAACAAAATTCAAAGACAAACTTATGAAAAATAGTCGCCGTTCAAAGCTTAAGTTTAGACTAATTACATGATTTCAACTATTTTGGTACATGAAGTCTAAAATTTGAAACATTTCATTTCATTATCTCATCAGAATTATGCCATAATAATTGCCATATTGCTCGAATATAATACAAAAACGAATATTTCCATCTGTCGATATTTTCAAACAATCATTTTGAAACAATAACGCATTAAAACACATAATACTAATTTCTCTTAGTTTTCCTTTCATAAGAAATCGATTTTATTTTTTATATGAATTTTGTTTAGTAAGTAAAGTTATTTTAAATCAAGCTATCAAAATAATTTAATGTGATCTACTTGTTTAGAAGATACGTTCTCGATGAAAAATAGGTAAGATGTATTTGATGATTCCTTTGTTGTTTTTGATAGTAAAATATATTTCCTACATTGTTTGGTGATTGTTAGGAAAAAATGTCAAAAGAAAGAAGATATTATTTGGTACGTACAATCTATATTCAATAGACTCATTAATCAAGGAATAAAAACTTTGTCGGTTTACAAATATCTTTTTTCTTCATTTCTTTGTCATTAATAATCAAACTAGAAAATAATTGCTTTTTTGTTCATTTCTCATCGTGTGACTAGAGGTATTTTGTCAACATGATATGACATTAGAATCTGATAGACATAGACTAAAAAAGAAAAAGTGAATATAATAAAAGTTTCTTCGAAATTATATTTTTCATTGTTTTTTCTATCCACATTGACATGCACAAAAATACTCGAATGAAATAACTTTTCACATGATACTAATTCTCTCAAAAAATAGTCAATTATATAATTGTATCGAAGAGAAAATGTGTTTCAATTACCAAAATTGTCTAATTAGAATATGATCATCCATGGTGTAGATGAAGAGAAGATTTCATTTGTACTCATACCCGCACTTTCTTTCATTCATTATAAATTTGGTGATGAAAAAAAAATGCTCATTCAATGTATCTATGCATCCATAGCTTTTATGTTACCGATTAATCGGCAAATAAATCACTAGAGAGAGAGTAGCAAAAACACGACTTTTATACTATCGGATCCATATTTTTCAATGAATACTTCGACAGAAATAAAACTAATAATATCTCAATTCATATATAATGTTCGTTTACACTTCATTGCTTTTTTTTTTAAATTTTTTACACGGCAAAACAAAAAATGAAATTATTAATCGATTTAGAATTTTAGAAAGTAGTATAATTCAAATCTTTTCTGATGTTTTATTTATTACTTCAATTGACATTTGTTGACCGAGCAGGCGAAAAAAATAGTGGGAATTTAAAAGGGAAGAGATACAGAAAAAACCATGTCAGTGAATAAGTGTGATAAAGAATACACACCTAAATTCACAAGTGATTTGTATAAATCTGATGTTAGGAAAGAGAAAGAAAAGAAATATTTAGTATTTGTCTATTGATTCTTTTTAACTTGTTTGTCTACGTTTTCGTCTACCCATAAGTAACATACGATTGCGTACGCAATCAGCATACTCCTGGCCACGACCAGTAGCTGGCATTCGATTGCATGGTTTTAAAATTTGTTCAAAATCGGCCGTTTTCTTTAAAATGAAATGATCATTATCATAGGGCTCATTTTTATAAATCGGAGAACGAAATAATTGTCGACTTGGACGATTTGATTCTTCAAATCGATCGTATTCATTGTTAACATTATCCATCATTTCTTGTATTTCTTGATTCGATGTAGACAAGGCCAATAATGGAATGATCAAAGCCATGCATATACAAATGAACATTGTATTTGGGATACTCATATTTTGAAATTGTTTTTCTTTTTTTAAAATATAACCGTTATCTAAAATGATCAAAAGTACAATAAGAAAAAAGAAAAAAAAAAGAAGTCGAGAACGTATTGCAATTATTCCTAATATCAATAGACTATTATCGGTTCTGTTCAACTACTCAGTTGTTTCCTTTGTAGCTCAACAAGATAGGATCTTTCTATTCTTTTTTTTTTTTCTCAATCGTTAATTCAAAACTACAGTAAGAAAATAAAGAGTACTATCGACAGGGAAGCAAGAGACGTACACAATACAATAAAACTCAAGAGTTCAATCGTTGTGATCATTCGTTGTCGATCCGTCGGCAAGAATGTAAAGACTATTTAACGATCTATAGGATGAGTGTTTAGCATCGTTTTCTCTTTCATACTACATGTTTATATGAACCGAAGTCACATACACATACACAAATAATTACTACATTGACATAGGCCAAGTATGAACTTGAAGAAAAAAATACAAGTGATGACGCAGATGACAAAGAAAAACAAAAGAAAAAAAATGAAAATAATGATTAATTCTCTATAGAACAAGTTAGCAATACAATAGAAAAAAAAAACTAAAAAGAAAGGTAACATCATTCATATTTGTATCAAGGTTCTTGTAAATTAATATGCACTTTTAATCAAAAGATAAACAATCATCTTTCGGTACCTTACTTGTTCTTCGAAAAATATTGAGAATCTGATAGTACAGAGGCTTTCAACATCGCTAATTTATATTAGAATTTTGCTCGTCTGAAATCATTTCACTGCTCTTATCATTTAATAGTCTAATAGTTGCAAATGGCAGACAACAAAGACTATAAAATGTGACGTTGCCGTTCATAGAATATAATGAGTTAGCTCGAGGCATGCAAAAAAAGAAAAGTGTTTGTCACGAACCATTTACTTTACTGTAGAAATTTTTAATCCTATATATTTATAGATACAAGAAAAATATAACAGAGTGCTGGAGAGAGAGAAAACAAAACTAGGCTAAAGGAAAAAAATGAACAACTTTTTGACGGTTCAATTAATGGATATTGTAGGCGATGTCTAAATTGGTAAACTGGAAATAGATCTAAAGCGAATGAAGGAAAGGAAATGACTTCGACATCGTGAATTCCAGTGGTTGTATTATTGTCGCTTAAGAACATTTCCGGTATTGTATTGGTGAATGTCAGCTAGTTGATTAAATATAAGTTGAATTAGTTGAATACGTGTTTGATCATTTAGTTCATTATTAATGGAAAAATAAAAATATTGTTCATATTCTCGTACATATGTTGTTAATGTTTCAGTTATTAAACCACCTTGAGATTTATGTTCACTACATGCCCAAATAACAATCGTTTGATAATCAGGAATATTAGTTGTATTATTTAATGTCCATCTACGATTAAATCGAAATTCATTTGGTAGAATCGAAGATATTTCTGCTAATCGATTTGATGAATATATTGGTAATTGATTTAAAAGAAATTCGGAACCACCAATTATTGTAGGAATTTTTATATTCGTTGATTTATTTTGTTGCAAACGTTCTATTGTCTCAAGTGCCAATAGACCGGATGCTGTATGATGACCATGTGATTCTGTACTCGGTAACATAATAAGCATTATATCATAACCTTGAGTATTATTACCAGTTTTAATTATTTGTTCAAGTAATTGAATAATTATTTCTTTGTTCCATTGTTCAGCAAAAACAATATCAACATTTCGATCATATTTTAAATCTAATTGATCAAAGAAAAAAAACTTTCGAATTCCTAATATTTTTCCACTTGCTAATAATTCTTGTTTACGTATACGTGGTAAATGTTGTCTACCAATACTTTCTTTTGACAACTGTAAATTATCATATAGATGTTCAGATGGTGCAGAATATTTGAAACCACCTTCACCATTAGTGATACAAACAAGATCAACAATAGCATTAATTTTATGTACTAGTGCATAAATAAAACCTGCAAACAAAGTTTCATCATCAGGATGTGCAATGACAACTAATACAGCTAATGTAGAATTCATGCTACAATGAAATTTTGTTTTATCTTCTGTTAAAATATTTGTAATATTTACTGAAAAGATTAGATATAAAAGCATATCATATACATGTTCGTATTTTTTTTTTGTTCTGATTAGACAGAACTACAGAGAGAAAAAAATACAAAATAACTTTTTTAATAAAGAAAAAAAAAAAACGGAAACGCTATTTTTATTGTGCATTTTGCATGATTGAATGTTCGATAGCCATATTGAGTGCATCACGTGCACAATCATAAATAAATCGATATTGTTGTTCAGTTTGAATAATACCACAGCGTTGACGTCGACATTCTTTAGCCATTGAATAAATATCTAATGTTCTTCCACGTATTGTTTTAATTAAAAGTAAACTTATTAATAAAGCACATCCTGTTCGTCCAACACCTGTATTACAATGAATCAATAATGGTGTATCACTTGTTTGATATGAATGTGCTAAATGTATAAGACTAAGAAATGATTGTGTATCATGTGGCATATTATCATCCATAGGCCATATAGTATATGCTAAAAATATAACTGAATGTTCATGTTTATGATGTGATTGTTCACTAATACGAATACGAAATTCTTTTATATCAATACCACCATCGAATTGACGATGTTTTATTAATGTTAAAGATAAACTTAAAAAAAAGAACATGTATATGGACAAAAGAAAAGAAAAAGAATTTTTCTCTTACAATGGTGAAAGTGTCATTGTTGCTTTAATAGTTGTTGGCCAATAAATAGGACATTTCATTTTTTTTAAATCTTGTTCATTAAATATACCAATCATAGATTGAACACGGTGTTCTACAATCATTTGCCAAAAATCATCTAAAATATACAAAAAAAATTGTTTTTTTTCTATTTATAAAGAATAAAACAAATTATACTGACTAATACTCTCAGGTACTGGTGGTGGACAAATAATATATTTCATTGATTTATCTCCAATAGGTATTGCTATATGACTTGCATTAATATAATCTGGTTTTGTTGAAAGTATAATACGATTAAAATCATATGGAACTATATTTTGAAAACGATTCAATGCTTTATTTTCAGGTTGCATGGCTATAGAAGTTAATTCAATTGGTTCATGCTCATTGATAGTTTTTAATGCCTAAAAATGTTTGTTTTCGCAAATTTTTATTTTTCATTGTATAATTTAAAGAATATTTACTCGAAATTCTTCTAAATATTCATCAGAATCGATTTTTATATCGATTTCACGACATTCATCCATTAGTGTTGTTGTATCCATATTGATAGCTGGTGTACTAATTTTATCGATTAATTGCGTAGTTAAATTTTCAATCTTTTCAGTAACACCAGCATTAAGTATTAAAGTTTCATTGGATGCAGCTTGCTAAAATGAAATTTAATGAAAATTATTAATTTATTAAAATTAAATTAAATCGATTAACTTACTTCATAATATTGTTTTCGTTTAGCAATTTCATTTGATTGAGATGCTAAAAAATATATTTTTGAAATGAATTGATAAGAAACTTATTTATTTACTTGATAATGATTTTGAATGAGTTGGTGGTACTTTTAATTCAAGTATTGTTGGCAACGGTGCTATAGGTGATTGAGGACTCATTAATGGCGTTTTTATATCACTTGTATCTTCATCAATATCTGTATTGGAAACTGGAGAATCTTTTTTCTCTTCGTTAGTTGATTGATTTTTATCTGTTATTGTATCAAAATTTGCTGATGGTACTGATTTGATTTTTTTACCAATCAAAGCTTGTAATGCAGAACCTGGTGGTAAAGATGATAGTGCAGCAGTAGAAGTGACAACAGCGCCCGTTGAAGATGACGATGATGTTGATATGTCAATAGAATCAGGTGTTAAAGTCGTAGCAGCAGCTACTGTTTGTGTTTTTTCAGTATTTATTAATGGAAGTAATTTTGGTTTTTCACGTGGTATCAATTTTTCAATAACTGATGAAGCAATAGCTGGTGATGTTTCTACAGGCATTGCGATTTCATCTTGTGTCTGAAATATTTAAACCAAAATTTTTTACAAGATACATTTTAAACTTTATATAATCAGCGAATTAAATATTATATATCGCTAAGTAATTTACCGTAGAAATTTCTATATCCGAAATGATATTTGGTTTATTCGATGTTGAAGCATCTGTTATTGGTCTAAATTGAATATATAATTAGTATCATAAATCATAATATAGAAAGTAAAATACCTAGCAATTATCAAATTAACACCTTTCTTTGTTGTTTCTTTTAATGCTTCGACAACTTCACGATAAGTCATTTGATCAGTATTTTGATCATTAATATATAATAACCGATCATCAATTTTTAAACGTCCATCTTTTTCAGCAATTCCATTTGGTTGAAGAGCACATATAAATATACCACCAAGTGTTTGTTGAGGATCAATTTGACTAAGACCAATACCATACGTTCCCTGAGAAGCTTTAGGCAATGATATTTCTATTTTTTCATATTGCTAAAAATTCATAATCAATTAATTGATTGTATAACATAGAAAATAATATGGAATCTCACCACTGGTTTATTAAATAATTCAGATTTACTAGATTTAATAGGCATGACAGGTGATGGTGGAGCAGAAATGCTTGTTGCAGATTGATCCTATAAATACATATCATATATAACTTATTCTATGAGCCTCTAACTAAACAAATACACACACACACAATCGTATTGTTAATTAGCGTTAATCTGTTTCAGAAAGTGTGATAAAAATAGAAAAAAAACAAAAAAGAAGTTTTTTTTAAACACATGCGAGGTGCTCACAAACGAGAATAGAGAGTGAAAAGCATCACTCTCTAACTCACGCCAACGCTTATTGATGCGTAGGATGTATTTTGTAATTGTCGACTTCTTTCTTTTGCATGTACAATTTCATCAATACGTGGTCGATAAATAATAAAATGCACAGGACCTGTTGGTGCATAACGAAGACGTGCAACAAGATCACGATGTGGTATTGTTTGACAATCTGCATCATTTATTGCTAAAATACGGTCCCAATGTTTTAATCCAGCTGATAGAGCAGGCTCACGTAATACCGATCGAATATGTGGATATCCGATCGATGTTGAACCTGCTGATAAGGTAAAACCAAAACCACTATCTTTTTCTTTGTTCATTATCACAGCAAACACCTAATGTGCGTTTGAAAAAGCGTTTCAATTATTGCAAGACAGTTAGAATCATTGCAAAAAAAAAGGGGAAAGTAAATAAGAAATATAAGCTATTTCTGAAGAGTAATCATACACTGAATCTCTTTTCTTTCTTCCAAGCAGTTTTTCAGTGTTGACACTCTCAAATTTTATTTGCCCAGCATACGTTCACATTCAAGATAGATCTTTTACCTCACCACGTTTAACTTTTGTTGGTACTTTTGGCATCACACGTCTACTACCAGGTGATTTTGGTGGTAAATCACGAAGTGGATCCTTTGGAGATCGAGTTTGATCATTATACATTAATCCAGGCATAGTTTGTCGACCTGACTGACTCAGACTATTCGTTTGACGATCCTAATCGAATACAAAAAAATAAATTCATTTTTTTATTATGTCGATAAAAAAACGAAAGAAAGAATATAAACCAAATAAGCTTGATATTCTCGACGATCAGGTCGACAAACAACAAGTTTAACATTTGCAGATGATTCAGCAATTATCGGTGGTACATCCTAGAAAAATATTTTTGTTTTATCTTTATATAAATCAAATAAACGTACTCGAACATTGCGATTATGCATAGAAACATCATTAATTGATAAAACAATATCACCAATATTTAATTGACCTGATAAAGCAGCTGGTTGATTTGGATAAATATCAATAATTTCTACAGGTCTACTTTCAGCTACTCCACCTGATAAACTAAGACCTAAACCATTAGGACCACGATTGAGAAAAACTTCAAATGTATTCTCTAAAATAATCATAGCATATATGTATATAGTACGTTTAATTATTAATTTAAATTTTATACCTGAACGAGCAAATGGATAAATTTTGTTTCTTGATGATGAACGTAAATTATTTGGAAAAATAAGTCGTTGAACAAGTAAATGACATTTTGGTCCTGTTGCTCGACGAAATAATTCAACAGCTTCAGAATGTGTTACACGTGCTAATGATGCACCATTTACTTCCAAGATTTTATCACCTAAGAAAAAGAAATACTTCTCATCCAATACAAAATAAATCGAGTACAAAAAGACAAAAATGATTAACCTTCCATTAATAATTTTGATTTCGCAGCAGCACCACCCGGTGTTATACTCTTAACATAAATACCATGATCTTCAATTTCTGAATCAAGACCACCCTTGGAAAAAAAATTATATTCTGGTTTCTTTTTCTCTAATTAACTAAAACATTGATTACATACAACAACAAGAAAACCAAGACTATTATGACCCGATTTATCAATAGTTACAGGAAATACAGCACTTTTTATATCATGTGCAGTTGAAAGATCAGATGCTTGCGTCAGAATACTTTCATTCGATAGAACACGTTTTGATGGTATAACATTTGAAAAATTCTCATGTGACCATGTTGTCTATAAATATCAAAAAACAACAAACAATTCAATATCATTTAAAAAATTAAATAATCATAATACTAAAGTATTTGATGAATTTTTATTATGTTTTTGTTGTTGCAGAAAAGAATCAGCATCAACACTCATTGGCCGTTGTAAATAATCTCGTCGATTTAATGTTGGAATTTCATGTCTTGACAATTTTAATCGACAAGGATTTGGTGATAGACTAAGAGCCTCAGCTACTGCTTGTACAGTCATATTGTTAACATTTTTTCCATTGTATGATAAAAGTCGATCACCTATTTTAGTAATAAAATTTTTTTGAAATAAAAAAAAAAGACCTTTATTCAACTAGCTTTTTAACCTGTTTGAATTTTTCCGGATCGTGCTGCACTTCCATCAATTGGATGAACTGATTTAATAAAAAT